GAGAGAGAGAGGAGAGAGAGAGAGAGAGAGAAGAGAGAGAGAGGAGAGAGAGAGGAAAAGAGGGAGAGAGAGGAGAAGAGAGAGAGAGAGAGAGAGAGAGAGAGAGAGAAGAGAGAGGAGAGAGAAGAGAGAGAGAGAGAGAGAGAGAGAGAGAGAGAGAGAGATGAGAGAGAGAGAGAGAGAGAGATAGAGAAGGAAGATAGATAAATAGATAGATAGATAGAATAGAAGAGAAGAGGAGAGAGATAGAGAGAGAGAGAGGGAGACGAGAGAGAGGAGGAGAGAGAAGAGAGAGAGAGAGAGAGAGAGAGAGAGAGAGAGAGAGAGAGAGAGAGAGAGAGAGGAGAGAGAGAAGCTGAGGGGGCTGAGTGAAAGAAGGAGCAAGGGTGTACCTTGATTGGACCTTTATCTTCTAGATTAATTAGATCCTCTTTCGTTGTTTGTCACTCATTTTGTCCCTCCCTCCCCCTCTCTCTTTCTCTCTCCTCTCTCCTTCTCTCTCTATCTATCTCGCTCTCTCTCCATCTCTCTCTCTATCTATCTCGCTATTTCTCTCTCTCTTCCTCCTCCTCCTCCCTCTCTCTCTCCTCTTCCTCCTCCTTCCCTCCCTCGCTGTACTTGTAGCCTTCAGCGTTTATTTTCCATCTCCTCCCTGCACAAGGCCGAAGCGACGAGAGCAAATCGTGATGCTTATCCTTTCTCCGTGGCGCTGGCTCCTGGGGAAGTGACATGCAGCTCTCTGGCTCTACAAGCGGGCCATGTTCGGGGGCCACGGCGCGCTTGATGTTGTTTATGTTGACGCAAAGTTTGCATCCCTCTCAAGGCTTAAAGATTGCTGAACTTATCCAACTCTGCAGTATGATCTATGCAAGTCTTTAAAGTCAATTTCCTGCACCTGAGTCCTGGAACTTCGACTTGATCGCCGGACGGAAGATGTGACCGGTGGGTGCTACTGTCTTCTCCTTATTCTTCGACTTTCTACTTCTACTACTCTGCTACTACTACTACTACTACTACTACTACTACACTAACCTGCTACTGCAACTTCTCCTACTACCACTACTACTACTGCTACTACTATTACTACTACTACTGCTACTGCAACTTCTACTACTACCACTACTACTACTGCTACTGCAACTTCTACTACTACCACTACTACTACTGCTACTACTATTACTACTGCTACTGCTACTGCAACTTCTACTACTACCATTACTACTACTGCTGCTACTACTGCTACTGCTATAATTTCTACTACTACTACTACTATCATTACTACTACTACTACTACTACTACTACCATTACTACTAACTACTTACTACTACTACTATTACTACTACCACTACTTACTACTACTACTACTACTACCATTACTACTACTACTACTACTACTACTACTACTACTTACTACTACTACTACTACTACCATTACTACTACTACTACTACTACCATTACTACTACTACTACTACCATTACTACTACTACTACTACTACTACTACTACTACCACTACTACTACTACTACTATTACTACTACTACTACCATTACTACTACTTACTACTTTACTACTACTACTACTACCATTACTACTACTACTACTTACCATTACTACTACTACTACTACCATTACTACTACTACTACTACCATTACTACTACTACTACCATTATCATTACTACTACTACTACTACTAACATTACTATATTACCACTACCATTGCTACTACTACTACTACTACTACTACTACTATTACTACCACTACCATTACTATATTACTACTACCATTGCTACTACTACTACTACCATTACTACTACTACTACTACCATTATTACTACTGCTGCTACCATTATTATTACTACTACTACCATTACTATTACTACTACTACCATTACTACTATTACTACCTTTACTACTACTACTACCATTACTACTACTACTACCACTACTACTACTACTACTACCATTACTACTATTACTACTACCATTACTACTACTACTTACTATTACTACCACTTACTACTTACTACTACTACCATTACTACTACTACTGCTACCATTATTACTACTACTACTACCATTACTACTACTACTACTACTGCTATAATTACTACTACTACTACTATTACTACTACTACTATTATTACTACTATTACTACTACTGTTGTTACTACTACTACTACTACCATTACTATTACTACTACTACTACCATTACTACTACTAACTACATTACTACTACTGATACCATTACTACTACTACTACTACCATTACTACTACTACTACTACTCTACTGGTATAATCACTACTACAACTACTACCATTACTACTACTGCTACTGCTACTACTGCTACTACCACTAGTACCACTACTACTACTGCTACTGCTGCTGCTATTACTATTACTACTACTACTGGTAGTGCTACTGCTATTGCTGCTA